GATGATTGCTAAGACTAACGCTATAATTAGGAAACAGATGGCCATAATTGGTTCTTATTGTGATTTTGGTGCGACGTGGAACTATTTTAGGTGTGTCTTTTTCACAGCGTCTGTTTTCCCCATTTTTACTTTGCTTTTTGCTATCTTCCTCCTATTGACGTCTTCTCAACAACAGAATCTGATGCATTTTTATTATACTTGTCTTAAAAGGATTTATCATGTGACACAATTAAACGACATTCTCTTTTCTCATTACTATAGTGAAATTTCGTTAGAGGAGAGATACGCTAAGTACTGGAAAAGATTCACGGATGTGCTACTTACTTCTGTAGATGGTGATATCCTAATAGAGCCGGGTTCCTTAAGCGTGTTTAGAGAACAATGGCTGAATAAGAATTATATTATCAAAAACATTTTCGTTCAAAACGATTTATATCACATAAGTCTGTATTCGTCAAATGTGCTCTATCGGTAGAAAACAGTATCGAATGTTCGCTACCTGACTTAGACGAGGATGGTCTTGAACTACTTGAATTTTGTCCCAAATCTTTTTTACAGTTCAGATATATTTGACGTGTTCACTTTGTTACATAGTTTTATTTGTGTGTATTCTGTTTTCTTAGTTGTATTAATTAATTTATAGTAAGTTTTTTTCGTGGCTCTCTTATTTTATTTTTGTCTTAATAGACCTACAAAGAGCAGTAATAAATAGCAGTATATATATATGCTTATATATATAAATATATAGATAGATCTTGCAATTTTCATGATTTCACAAAATTGTGCAACTGTTTCTGTTTTTGTACATTCATCCATCGGATTTGTGTTATAAAAATAGAAAACCTATTAATTGCATGTTCTAAAATCGGATTTGAAATAAAAAGATAACATCTAGAGTAAAAAGATGAAGAGAACAATATGCAATAAATAACATCGCAAGAGAAAGAGACACAAAAAGAGGGAGAGAGAGAGAAAAAAGAAAAGGAGAAGAACAGTACTATAATAAACTTAGCAGAATAACAGGAGTACAAGGGAGAAAAAAGAATGGAACAGAAAAAAAAAACAATTTCGGAGAGAAGGAAGAAGAACAAGAAACAGTAAACTACTATGAGTTTCCATTAGCTATCTATCTCTAATACAAAAAAAAAGAAGAGAACATAGTGTTCAGCAATGATGATAGTTTCCATATGGGATAAAAAAATAATGTAGTTGAAAATATGAGAAGATCAATGTAATTTTTAAAAAAGAAACTATGTTTTCAATTGAATATTTTATCATATTATCTACTCGATTCGTAATAAATCATAAAATGTATCGAAACGTCACTGTCTACTTTTGTTGTACATTAGTACTCAAATGAAATCGTCTCGATTATATCGATATTCGAATAGGAAAAACAGATATTCGACAATCTTAGTTGTTTTATTATTTCTTCATTTTATTGTTAATTTAGTACCGTTAGTAGCGCCGATCAATGTTACTGCTGTTATGTTAAATCAGACAACAGCGAATATAACATGGATGTATCCAATTGATCCAAGCAATGACGAAGATCTATCGTTACTTGGCGGTTATATCAAAGGATTTTATGTTATTGTATTTGCTCCAAATAGTTTACAACCACCAATTGTACATCGAAATTATAAGGGTACAATTGGACAAATGTATTGGGATATTGTGGGAAATTTAACGCCTGGCACTACATATCATGCACAAGTAAAAGCATTTACAAAAAAAGGGGATGGAAAACCATCAACAGCTTATATATTTACACCACCGAAAGAAGATTTCCGTAAGTTTGTTTTAATTTTAATTAACATAACTAATTTATCTTATCTTACATTTCAAAAGTAGGTGTGCATCAGTAACAGAACAGATTTTTTATCTTTTCTTGAACCCCTTAGCAAAATATTCATAATTTTTTTGAATTATATTCTAAAGAGGTAGAAAACATCCTATTTGAAAAAGAAATATTTACTCTACAAACCTGCTTTAACTGAAAAAAACTATATAAAACATTAAAAAGAAAAAAGATACATATGAATGATCTAGTAAACTACAAATAGTTAAAAATTGATATGTTCATATCTTAGCTATACTTAATTTTGAAATTATTTTTTATCTTAAAAATGGTAGTCGGAACATTTTTCTAATGTTCTGTCACTCTGAACGATTCATAGTAAACGAGTTATAAACATTTTTTTAAAGCAATTTTATTGCACTACAATATCGAACATGTATCTAATAAAACTAGAAAACATTTGAACACTCTCCACATAGAAGATAGAATCTTGTTATTTCATCCTTGAGACTCAATGTATAATGCAATATAGAAAGAATATCAGATAAATACATTGAAATAAACATATCATTTAACGTGTTCTTATGCTTTTTATATGTTAAATAGTTTAATCTATTGTTGCAATTCAATACAAAAGATAAACGTTTACTAAACTGTTTGAATTCTTATTTTTTTATATTTAATTTTATATCTGATGACAATTACGCTTGATTCAGAAAGTCATATAAATATGATTAGTATTTTTTTTTTTCGGTGAAAATTCAATTCTTTAATCACTATTTATTAATATGACATAATTCTTTGCTAAAATGATGATAATTAATTTCACTTTTGATTAATAAACACATGTTCTCTTTTTTCTTAATCTAAAGAGTTTAAATTAGTTGTTTTTGAGTAAAAAAATATATATATTCCATGATAAACATCTTTTTCTATGTGAAAGTGATTTGTTTTGATTGATTATCCAATGATATACATCCACTCCTTCAATAAAGAAAGATTACTTTCTTGAAGAAAACTAAGTAATGATTATTATCCCCTTGAACTTGGAGTTTTTATCTTTTTCTCTTTTTTTTTCTTTCTCTCTCTCTCTCTCGCTCTCTTTCTTTCTCTCTCACATAATAATGTAAATAACTGTATGTGTGTGCATACATATGTTATATAATAAGTAATCGTGATGATGTGTCTATCAATCGTCCACTATATAATGAGAACGAAAAAAAACCTATTATAAAAACTTGTTAGCTATTGTGATTATACAAGATACATTTCACTGTAAATGTTTATTTGTTAAATAAGATGAGGATAGCACAACATATTATTAAAATTTTATTCTTTAAATAATTGTCATAAATCGACAATTATTAAAAATATTTGTCTATACTCTATAAAAGAAAAAATAGTCAGTTTAATATTATTCAATTTTAGGATAGTTCTTCTAATATGTTAATGGGATATCAAAATGATATCTAATCAAATACAAGTGGTAACCATGTTGAGAGTAACAGTAAATTTGTTTTAAATCAATTTTGATGCATATATCTTTTTTCTCTTCTCCACAATTGTTAGATGTTAAATATTCTCTAATAAATTGTAAATTTTTTGTTCTAACTATTGTTAATTTCGATGATAAATAAGAAAGAAAATATTTTCCCATGATACATAGAATCGCTGTTACATAAATCATATAATTAATGGTAATTCTTAAAAAGTAGCTAAGAGAGGTGTACTATGAGAAATATATCACTTTCACTTTATACATTCAATAATTTTACTAGCATATTCAAAATGGATAGTCTATGAGTGTATATAAATGTTTGAAAGCTATCTGAGAAAGATCTATGTTATGATAGTTTATTTTCTATATTCATATCAAATTTTTACCATAAAACATGAACTAATCTAAAAGTTCAAACGATTTTGACTTCTTTTAAAAATTTATAATCACTTTTCAAACGTTTTTTTTCTTCTTGTTTTGTCTATGATATGTTATGACTTTAGAGAAATAGTCTTATTATTGTTAGCTACGTATTAATAGTACAACTAAGTTTTTAATTGTTATTTTACTATCCGTTTGAAACATGAAATGGTATTATTACAATATCTCTATTTCCTTTCTTTTTTCTATAACACGTCTGTCTTTAATACATAGAAAAGTTTCAATCGTTTTATATTTTGTTACGTCAGTATAAATGAGACCCATATACTCTTTCTCTCTCTCTCTCTCTCTTACTCTATCTAAATTGAAAAATTTATTCTCTGTGTACAATTTTTTCTAGTCGGAAGCATCATACTGAGAACAGGATGTACATGACAATAACCGAATATAAAGTGTATTGTTTTCTTGGTTGGAATTAAAGTCAAAGTGTTTCGATACTTGTTGTTTAGTCAAATATCGATCTTTGTATTCTTTTCCTGTATAAGTGATATTCTTTGTTTCATATTAATGATACTTCTTCTTTTTATTTTTTTTATTTTTTGACTGATTTATTGGCATGTGCTTACAACTGATCTCAAATGAAGGAGAAAAAAAATGAGTTGTAAAGATATAGATATATATGTGTGTCAACCTTCATTCACATTTTCTCTTTTCTGTGTATATATTAGAACAAGTTATTACTACATATCACTATATAGATATATATTAGAATAGTTGTCGCGAAAACCTTCCCAATATTTAAACAAATATTCCCTTGATTTTTTTTTCTTCAGCTACTATCGACTGTTTTACATAATAATATGATTTGTTTGACAATCAATTTTCAACTCAAGATAACTTTAGTATATGTTTCTATTGTTCTATTGTACATAAGAGTATTCGACTCATTGATTATATATGACAACACTGATAGAAGGGATAACATAGAGATACGGATGGTATCAAATCTTCGTTCAAGTCAACCAACAAACAACGATATTATAACATATAGATAAACTAATGAACATTTATTTTTTTGTTTTTATAAAAATCGAGGTTCATTTAGTTTAATCCATGTAAAATTAATCTGTAAAAAGATGATAGATAATAGATTTGAAAATATAAATATGTGAATAGAGAAACAAGTTTTGTTGTTGCTTTTGATTTAAGATTAAACTTACTCAATAATGTGTTCCTTGAAAAAATACATTTATTTGTTTGCTTGAATGAATTTTTGTTCATTATGATCTCTATGTTTTAAATGGATTTATCGGATGATACATTATGTTTTAAGTGGAACGAAGTGTCTTATACTTTAGTTTAGTTCATGATCTTTCATGACTTAATAAAATTAATGAATACACTTTGTATGCACGTACTTTTATTTTACATTCTTTCTCTCTGTTCGTGTTTTAACGATTAACACAAACAGCAATAATAGAAAAAAAAATATGTTCATAGTTTTCTTCTTTATTCTATTACGTTTTTTTTTTTTTAAACAAAAAAAAAGAAAAATAATTACTATTGATAAAGAATGCCTACTGGTACAATATTTTCTCTTCTTCATTTCTCAATAACTATGATGCAATCAATTCTAATAAAAAAAAATTATTTGAAGACACAGTCAGGGGCACTTCTCAAAAAATAATTAAGTCTAAGTTTTTTTTCTTTTTAGATATCTTGTGGATATGTCGACTATTGAATATAGAGACAGATGACTGTTAACAACATCAATGACACAGTTATCAGTATGATAAATAAGATTTTTTTTGCTATAGTTAGATGTATTTTACTAGAAAATTTTTAAGAAGAAAGTTAAACAAATTATACCATGTTGTATTGAACTAAAGTTGAGTTATAGCAACATCTATTTTGATCTTGTCATTATTCGGATGTTGATTTTAACAAAAATAAATTCTATTTTTTTTTAAATAGATAAATCCTTATTTTTACAAGCTTATGTAGGATCTTGTAACTTTGTTAGAATATTTTAAAAGATATGTTTTATTGTTTGTTTTATACACTTTTTATTTTACAATATCATAAAATATTTCAAGATCTTGAAAGATCATATAATATAAAGAGAATATCTGACAAGAAAACAAAGATCTTTTTTCTCAAACATATTGCACCTGCGTTGACATCATCTTTTCTGTTCATCATTATTTCTTTTGCAATTGTGAATTCAATGAAATTATATTTCTGTCTGTTCTGTTATGATCATGAATTTTCAGACGTTTTTTTTCTTCTTCTTCTCTAAAACAAGTGTAAGTTAATCTTTTGTGTTAAACAATAGACTGCCAAGTGCAGTAACGTACGGATGTCATAACTTCTTTCTCTTTCAATTTCTATCTCTGTTCAGATTTATCTTTTCTTGTCGTTCGTTCATCTGTAAATATAAGGATGAATAATCTTTTATTTAGTGTGGATATTACAATTATTGATGAAATGAGAAATAAATATCAAGATAGAATATAGAATAAAGAATCTTCAATTGTAATAAATAGACGAGGTTCTTTTTCTCTAACTTTTATCTTTCTGTCAATCTGTATAAGAGATATAGAAGAGAAGAAGAAAAAACATGAAAGTTAATCCTAATTGTAAAATAAATGACGAAATCTAAATTCAACAAAAAAACAAATTAGTGGTAAATAGTAAACAAAATTGACAGTATTATTATTATTTGTTTTTTTTTGTTGCTTTCTAAGTAGAAGAAAGTGATGAACAATGAGATCTCAGTACTTTTCTTTCTCTAGTGTACAAAGCAAATAAAATACTTAAGGCGAATAGAATTTTCTTTCAGAGAACAACATAAAATGTGATTAAGTCATCTAATACAACTGTTCATCCTATTTATGACATGAAATATTTTGGAGTTCGAAGTAAAATAAATACGTATGAATTACAGTTATCAATTGAAAGACGTTGATCAGTTCCCAGGCGGCCATAGTCACTCTAAAAACTACACGATTCCAAAGTTTACGCGTTTAGTGAATGTAGCATATCAATATGCCAGAAACGGCGAACTATATACAAATAACACGCAAGTAAAGCCCCTGTTTCCATGGTAACGTGCGCTCCCTGCGTGTTATTTTCTGTACACTTACAGCTTCTTGCGTAAATTGTGTTACAAATTCGCTAAACGCGCAAAATTTTTCATAAGTTTTGTAATCCTGCAGTTTTCGGAATGACTATGACTACTGACTGGGTTATATTAGCGCAATATTTGCAAAAATTTATTATTTTAATCAAAATTAGAATATGAACGGCTGATTTTAGATTTACAATACACATATACACACTCAAACATTATTTTCATTTCAAATCACAACATACAAACAGATCCTTATGTAAACAAATTTTTCTTTTTTGTCGTCATTGTTGTTTGTTTACACAGAAGAAATACAATAATGTCACACTTGAACACATTTTCTTTTCGATCAGATTATTTAGTATCTTAAAACTATTGTAACAGTAATACTGTCACAAATGATAATGACAGATATTTGTATGAATATTAAGTTTTAAGTTAAGTTAAGTAAAACTGTCTAATTGCACTTAAATAATTAAAGTCTAAATAAAATTTTTTATCATATCAAATTTTGTCTGATAATAAATGAATGAATGAATGAATGGATGTGATGATTTTAGAAACTGAAATGAAAGCTAATTTGACGAATATTCTTTAGTCACTGTACAAAGTAATGGAAAAGACGATAGTCCATTCTGTGTCATTTATGATTAAATCAAGTGATTGATCAAAAATAATTTCTCTCTCATTGTCTAATGTCTGATTGAATGAAATGTTAATTTCTTATATGGACAATGTTTCTAATGAACGGAGTTAATCCTATGTCTGAACAATGGTTCATCTTGTGACAATTATATTTTTGACCAACGTTTGACAGTTCCGGTTGTTGTTTTTTTTTGTTGAAAAAAGGAATGTCTTCTTAGAAAACTAGAGGAAATATTCTCGTTTGTTTTTTGTCGGTTTGTTGATCACTAATGAGTCAAAATTATTTAGTCAGCGTTGCTTCTTTTTTTTTTTTCTTAACAAAGAAAATAAATCTAGAATTTTGAAACATGCTATAATACAAAATGCACTGAAAAACGAACAGGAGAGATACACGTGTTGTTATGGTTTATTGAACGATAAGTGCATACAATTTTTCTTAGAGATGAAATCGATTATAAAAGACTTCTGTGTTGATTTATTTACTTAGTGTACTCTCAAAAAATATCAAATCCATTCTTCTATATATATTTAAACAAAATCATCGCCATATTGACATCTTCTGCTGATACTTGATTAATATTTTATTTAATATTATGAATAGATTATCATCATAGGATAAGTGAAAGAGAAAACTATTATAAATAGTTCATTATTTAGTCTAGAAGTGCTTCGAAACTCTTTTGAAGAAATAAGAAGAGAATCGGAATAAAATCAGAAAATTCGAATCGAGCGAGGAAATGGTGTCACAAGCTATTGTGTATGGGCGTGGATTTGTTCGAATAAAAAAAATCAGTAGTCTTCTTTCAACGACTTAGATTTCAGCTCATTGTCCTTATTTTTTGAAAAATATAGTTTTAATATGAAAAAGTAAGAAAATCGGTCTACATTATTTGCTACACTATGGAAGGTTTTAGAAGAAAGATAAAACAACGCGAACTGCGGCAAATTATTAGTTTCAAAAGTGAAAATCAACCGATTGAACACATTTTTCTAATGTTCAATATACTCGAGGTGCCCAAACGGACAAAAGTAAAACTTTATTAAAAAACGATATATTTCTCTCACAGTAGAGTTTATCAAAGCTAAATTAAATTCTTCGATATTATTGTCATTTGTCAAGGAATTTAGAGATAGATCAGTCGCATTACCGTATTCATCACGATTTAAATATTCGATTCGATTGTTTTAAAATTTATTTAATGATAGCCCATTTTTATTGTATGACAGTTCCTTACAAATAGATAAATTAATCTGCACGTCCTCTGCATTCATCGAATAATCTAAATATCTAGCATCAAATACATATCTTGTTTAACAGTCATACTGAACTGCCGGTAATGTACTCAACGTTGTCTCCGAACATTTCAATGACTATTTTTATTTCATTTGTTTGTTGCTCACCGTCAATCCTTAATAATAATAATAAGTCGCTTATAAGATTAGATAAGAAATATTGAATAATCCAGCGACACGAATGATGATTCTGACAACATTTACCTTTGGTTAGGTGGAAAACGATTATGATTGTTCATATACAACCAGACATATGTTTCATTCTTAAGTTGTGATAGAAATAGAAGTTGTATATAAAATGATTTGAACCATATTTGTTAAGGATGCTTATCCCGTTCAAGCTGGATAATACTACGCTCTGTTTGTGAAATTTGTTCTAAGTCAACTCACTCTCGGTAAAAGATAGATTTGTAATCAGCTTTACTGTATCGCAACGACATCTGTACTTTATGCTTATATTTTATTAGAAAGTTGTTTGAACCTTTGAAACTAATCATTATGTGTATCAGACAGGGACTCTGAACTCCCTAGTCGATTTTTTTCGAAAAGTCCCCGAAAAATGCATAATCCCAGTGACTCCTCAGGGATTCTCCAAAAATGTATATTCCCCGGGGAGTCCCTGACAACTCTCCATCCAGCTTTTTGTTTTACGAACAGCCATACATAAATATGCCACTGTTTTGTGCAAAAATTTGTTCGAATTTTCCTAGTGAATCATCACCATTGTGTCAGCCGGTGTTGGCTGACGTGTACTATAGACTGGTACCAGTGATAGGACGTAACACTTATTAATTATAATGGATTATATGAAATTTACAAAAGATCTAAAGGGAATCCATGGGAGCTCCCTCAAAACTCCTCGGGGAGTTCTTGAGGAGGAGATATAACAATATACCCGTATTTCGACTTAATCGTTTGATCATCATTTTTCACTATGTTATCCAGTATATTCATGATGTATGATTTCTGGTAGGATAGCATTGGGTTAAAATATGAATCAAGCTTCGGTTTTTAATAAATAACAATTTTCAACAATTCAAAAGAATTTTCTTACTTGACCTGAATAATCTGTACTTTTCTCATTCAACTACCGTTTTAAAGTTAATGACGATTTAGGTTGACTGTTGTCTACAAGGCTGGTTATTCTATCAATACAATTTGGTACACTTGGACTTGACGGTCGTTCTTCAGCTTGAACTATTTTACTTTCTTTATTTTTGAATGATGCTTGTATATTTTGTGGAATGTTGTTCAATTTTGCTAGTCTGTCTTCTATCGATAATTGCTTCGAATTCAATATAAATTGATATTGATGATCAACAGTAGTGGCAGATAACTCGTTTGTAATTTCTTCTTGTTGTACTGTAGCGGAAGTAGGTAATATTGATAGGGTTTGATTTGTATATAAGAATTTTTCACGTTCAGGCTTTAGATAAAAATATGAGACACATGATTGATTTCGTTTTGGGTCATATTCTCGATGTGTATGCGTGTATTTATATGGCATTAACAAAGAATGGTTTGACAATCGTAAAGAGAATGTTTCTTTTGCCATCAAGTCTGTCTTTAGTTTGACCGATAGCAGATGATCTAATTTTTCATATCTAGTTGATGGTATACTTCCACTACTAGGAAATGCTGAGTTTTGTTTGGAATAGTTCGAAATTGTTTGTTGACTTGGTTCCATGTCTTCATATTCAGGTACTCGTTTCGATGGTGGTTTCTGCTGTTGATTTATTACCCATTTTCTTCATCCGACAGTTTTTTGTGTGATGATTTAGTTTTTGAAACAATAATGCAGTTTTTGTTTGGTAACGACTGAGTTAGCTCAGACTCATCTAATTTCAAGACTTTTAATAATAGAAGTGTAGGGCGTCCCAAGTTTGTCTGTTTTGTGATGTCTTGATGAATGCTCGATACAGGTTTAACATACGATTCGCTTCGAGTATTAAATGATTGTTGCGTAGAACCACTGAAGACGATTTTCTCGTCATCGCCTCTCTTGATCCAACAGTCTTTTAAGCGTGGTTCTAGTACTACAGCTGCATTTGATTCCACTCTCGTGTTCGAGAACTGACCATCACTTGTCTGACCAAAATCTTTATGACTAGCTGAAACAATTTTATTAACATTATGCTGGAGCTGGTCTTTTGTCAAGGAAACTTTTGAAAGGTCCTAACCACATTTTGGGCAAAGTATTAAAGTGGGTGGATCAGGGTGATGAATCCAAGCGAACAGCGATTGTTGCCGATGTGGTTCCAATTTGAAAAGCGTTGATGTATTTTGTGTTTTTATCATTTTCATTTGTGATTTGTTATATCGATGAATAGATACATGGTTTGTTCTTGTCAATGGTGATTGATGATGTTTTGATGGTTCATGAAACGTTTTCAACTGGTCGTCAACATCGGATTCTGAAGTAGCAAGCTGGTAACTTTCAGATATAAATGAAGCGGCATATCTCAATTTATTTAAGAGATTAGAACTGGTTGGATTATCTCTTTTTGTTGGTTCAACTGGCACAACTTGGCACAACTATATTAGTTATGATAAAACCTTCTTACTTCGATGCTTCTGTCTTTCATACATTTGATAGATTGCAAAGCTAGCATCTGTTCACTCTCAAATCCTGATGGTTTCACTCCAAATGGTGATGTCTGGTCTTGCTGATGTAACAATTGGTCATACGTAGAGAGCACGTTTTGTCTCTGATCAAATGCTGCATTTTATTAGAATTTCCTTCTGCCACTACGACTTTCTGAAAATTTTTCAGTACACTTTTTCTGACCAGAAACGGTACGTTCTCTCTGACTGATTTATCATTGATAAACAGTATATCTTGATTGGATTTTGTGTTGGATGGCTCGATAAGTTCAGATACTTGTTTTTTATCGACTTTTTTATTTTTATTGTGTACATATTCTTCAATTCGCACAGGAACACCTGATGCTTGATTACTCTTCTCATCTAGTTTTAATGTTCTTAAATTAGTTTGTCTTTTGGGTTTATTTTGTCTTGTACAGGTCGAAAGCATTGATACGCGTTTATTCTCAATTTTATCCTTTATCAAAATTTGTTTTCCAGAAGTTTTCTGCAATTTTTGACCTACATTCAATCCTCGTAAATTATTAGCAGATGTTGATGTATCATCTTCTAACTAAGAAACATGATATATATATGTATATAAACATTCCAAGAGTTCCTTATTTTTATGTAATCGTAATGGTCCTTTAAGTCATAAAATGAGCATATGCGTAGAATTTTTGATTTTTTTGTACAACGTTTTCTTTGAGTGTTAAGAGTGCATCTTTTTCTCCTCTCTCTTTTTGTGGATTTATTAGAAATACTGATTTCTAAAGTTTTTAATTTTAAAAGTAATTGTTTTCGATAAAGAAAATACAAAATATAAGTGTGTACCGTCTCATATATGTACTGTTGATAATTTGAGTCCATTTGTTGTTCGTTTGTCTTCAGTTCGCTAGTAATATATTGTTTATTATTTTCTGTCATATTCTATAAATCGTAAAAGAAGATTAAAATAGAACTTGAAAAAAAGACAAATTTTCTGAGATCTTGTGATATCAAATTCTTGACAGTCTAGAACTTCCGTAACGACAGTTGTGAAAAAATTGTATTTTGTTACATGAAATCAGGCTTGCTTTTTAAAAAATTAAACTGCGGTAGATAAAAACTCAAGTTTGTGATGATCGTTGGAAATATTTAAAGAGTTGCACATTTTGAGAAATGATTTAAAATAATGTTCTTTTTTGTTTCTTCTTCAGTGTGCTAAAATGAGAAGATAATACGTACAGACTCGATTTTACTTTCATTTTCTAATTCTACTGATTGTATTGTATCCATAATGAATGACATGTGGCTCGATTTCGTTTTTGATGGACTGGGCAATATCAGACTGAAATTATCATCTTGAGAATTTAAGTCATCTATAATTTCCTGATTGTGTATTACATTAACAAATTTCTTTCGTAATAATTGCTGTTTTCCATACTGATCATGCTCGTTATCTTTGTGAATTTCCTCTTCTGTCAATTTTTCAAATAATTGTGGTAATGTGGTAGATGTAGTAGAATTCACGAAAAACCATCCAGTATTTAAATTTTGTTCAACATTTAACGTAATCAGTTTGGTTTTTCTATCGTACGACTTGTTATATTTATTACTCGCAATAAGTATAGTGCAATCGAACTCATCCGTTTCATTTATATTTCTTGAACTGATCATTGTTATTAAATAAACATCTAGCAATCATTTCTCATCAAATAAATAATCATCCATATACGTATTCGATCTCTAAACTATGACGTTTTCTAACTATAAAATAAGATGAACATGGTTGCGTGTAAGAAGGACAGTAGCTGACAGAAAAAAATAAATCCATTTTACGTAAATCGATATTTCTTCTCGCATTAGGCGAAAAGGTCCAGAATACGAAAATTCGTGGTAAAATTAGCGCTCTATTTATTTTTCACTGATTTTTATATGATTTATGTTGTAAGAGGTTAGCAAAAGGCAGATGATACTTCTTAGACTAAATTCGAAGTTCGATTCTTACACAGTTGAATTAAAAGTAAGTTGTAAAAAATTAATCAATTGATTTCTCTCTTCTATTTTAGGACAATTGGCTCTAACGAATTTAACAGCGTATATAGCTAATGCTCATATGATGAGCGTGACGTGGGATTTACCACCGAATTTAAATGCTATTGATAAAGTATTTATAACAATAGAGGATGTTGAAAGTAATCGAACAATACAAATGCAATCATTCGATAATAGTATTAAAAAATTAGATATACAAATAAAAGCAAATGATGCATACAGTAAGTGATGAATTGATCAACACAGCAGCAACTATTATTATCTGAACTTTCGTGTTTAAGGTGTACAACCAAACAGAACAATAAGATTTTCTGCTAGATGTTCAGATAGAAATGGCCAAAATTCAACAACGACAGTCTATCAAATGTATATCAATATGAAAGGTTAGTTAAGTAGTAAAGTAGTGTCTTGGTTTGATCGTCTGTGTGAAAAATACGGAAAAATGGCTGTTAGATGTTCCTTGAATAAGTCAATCATAAGGAGGAAAAATACAAGATTTTCTGACCACGAGAGATAGATATTCAAAGAGATGACGTGAAATATCTACTGAGAAAGAGAGGAAAAAAGCTAAGCAAACTTTTTCTGTAGTCCAGAGACGGGTGTCGCCGGAAATCAGTTATTTTTGTTAACACCGAAGAAATCATCTGTATGTAGAATCGATCTGAAATATTTTCATTCCCCGTGGGGTCTTTAAAGGACATCCAGAAAACTTCTGGAATTATACTAGATTGAACACTTTCTACATGGAATCAGAGAAGTTCATATCATTTCCCAGCGATTCTGGTTGCGAACACCGACCAAAGGGAGGCGCCTTGAATTCAGAAATATCATCAGTTCTCCGGAGATTTTTGGAGAGTCTCGAGTGAACTTTTTAGATTTACGTTAGATTACAAGCCTTACACATCAAATCAGAGAAAAATGGACAGCATACCATAGGTAGCCCCTAGCAAGCGCCGACTGAAGGAAGATGTGAGCATTGCCTTGGACTCAAAAGTTATGGAAAGTCGTTCGTAGATATAAGTTTCTAAACTCAAGGGACCAAGCGAGTTCAGACGAACATTATCTTGTTTTAATTAAGAGTTGTCAAGTAAGATTGTGCCTTCTGTGTGGATGGATAGCCAGTATGTCATCGAGTGCTGGAAGAAAAGATGGTTTAAACGCTTTCATCTTACAAGTCTGAATATATTTCTTGAATTACGAACTTGCAGTTTTGTCAATTTTGATAATAGAAAAATTATACATTTGTTTTGTACAACCTAAGATAGAGGTCGCCATATGAAAACACCTTCTGCTATCAACCCATAATGAACCATATTCACATCCTGATGAGGTCGCTACATATAGACACTGTTTTCTTGCGTTCTGTCTATACACGTAATCATACGTCTAGCTTTCAAGCCGTTTGACGGCCAACACATAGCGCCGCTACCAGGATGTGAATATGGTTCATTGACATTATATAGAGCAGGAATAAAGCTTAGATATTTGAAAACAAATTTTTGAGCAAAGACTTTTATGTTTTTGTTATATTAAGTGTAGGTGGGTCCGGATAAACAAGAGACTCTTCTTAGCCATGTAGCAATAGATATTATTTTATTTATCTTTATTAAAAATCAAAATAAACTTTTTTGTCAAGAGTAAATGCGAACTGTGTTGTCTTTTCATTATCAAATATACACTGAACTTCCTGTATAACTTGAAAATTGTACTCGAATATTGACACACATAAAAGATTCTTTTTTTAATTTTGAGAACTGAGAACTGTTGAATCGATTTGTAAAATTCTTTTCGACAATAGTTCTGATGTCTCAAGTTTTTTTTTGAGAAAAATAAATATGCCGAAATATTTTTTAATCATGTATGCCTTTAACTATTGATTTGTGGCGCAATTAAGGAAGAGGGGACAAACAAATGAATGCTCTAGCTTTCTGAGAGTTCGTCCGATGCATTTTTTTCTATGTTATTATTGAGTTTTAAATCTTTTTTTCTTTACTTTACTTTAGAAACAGATATGCGAAAAAACAAATAAAATTTTTTGCTGAAATCTTTGAAAAAATTGAAATTGTTTAAGATGAGATGACTAAGTTTTTCTGCGAGGTTAAAAAAATTCTGATTGATCATTATTCTCTCACCATTAGGCACCTTTCTAACTATGAAGGGAAAGGCATGTAAGAATATCTCAGGGAAGAAAAAAAGGAAATAACGCATCATAGAAAAAATATTTTAGCCCCATAGTCGAATGTTCTGCCCATATATTCCCAATACTTTCTCCTGTTTCAATAAAGATTTACCAAGGATAACTCACTTTAGATTAATTCTGGTTCTTTTCTGCAATCAAAGGGTACAGAGTAAGATACTATCGTACTACAATCTAGCAACCGTTCTCTTATTCTAAGCTTAACCTAGACTTCCAGAAAATTGAGCACATCTACTTTGCTAGCTAATATGATTTCTACCTTATAAAAAATTTTTCTGCATAATCCTGTGAAATAACTATCGGAACCTAACCCCCTTTGTCCTCATAAGAGATCTGTTTTGGTAAATTCTTCAAATATGTTGAAACGAGCGATGTCTTCAACACGTCGAAATGGTCCATGTAGAAAAATAATTCTTCCCTCTTGCTGTTATAGGCGGTGGAACCACCAGAATGGATAAGGCTCAAGCCTTACCCGAATTTGGCGCAGTTAGGCTGAGCCTTATTACTACATTTCATTATTGGATACAGATATTTACACATTTTGTGTTTATGTTGGCCCGCAATGGCTATTTTCTAGCTGAAGAAATTCATTTTATTTAGTTGCGTATCAAGATGTAATTGAGTGTGGCTCAGCCTCAGCTCCAGACCTTTAAGTACCACCACCTAGATTTTTATAAAAGCTTTTCTATTCAGTATTAGGACTGTGTTTTTTCAACGAGAAAGAATCTTATAAAAAAGTGATTTACTAAGAAAGAATCTAAGAACAGAGAATAAAATAGGCGATAACCGTTGTAGCAAATGTAGTTCGTAACTAAACCGAGTTCAGCCCATTTAGCTTTCTTGCTCCTAGTAGATAATAAAAAGATTCCTGCATAAAATCTTTTGACATTTTTAGCTACTGTGAGTTTTTCGCTGCCTTCGGCGGTATATTTTTCATGCTTTTAAACAAAAATGAGATTTATCCTCAAGAAAACAGCTTAAAAAGAGCTGTAGGAAACGCATCAAAATCTGTTTGCCGCATTACAGCGTGCAAGAAACGTTTCCAAACCTTATTCTGGCAGTTCACTATGATCCGACAGACTCGATTCCTAAAAACTTAGGTTAAATTCTGTATTTATAAAAAGGTCGAGGCTGAGACTCATTTAATGCTTTTTCCCACGGCTGGGCAACTCCGCTGACTTTCAACTCCAACTCCGTTTTCAAATTTCCGATCCAACTCCAACTCCGCTCAAAATTTTTCAACTCCAACTCTGTCAACAAAAAGCTCAACTCCGATTGCTCCACTTTTTTAAGGAAGATTTTTCGGTTTTTAGCAGGATTTTGGACGTTTTGGAGCTTTTTCCAGTCGGAAAGCGGAAAGAACTTCCGAATTCACTTGTGAATGCAGCCACTCAATCGTTTAGAAGATCAGTTTTACAACCATTGAATATTTCCAAAAATGCAAAACGGAGTTGAGAATAAAAATTCAAAAACCCAACTTCAACCTCCTAAAATCTCAACTCCAACTCCACCAAAAAAATCCTCAACCCGAAGTTAGAGTTGCCCAGCCCTCCTTTTCCCTAGTTACGTCACTGATTTTACTAGAGAAAACGTGTTTAAATTCTCATCTTTTTTGAAGCAAAGAGCACAAAAGGCGCATTTTAGGCTGAGAAATTTTATTTCTTCTATTAGAAACCATTATCACATATACCTCTGCTTTTTATTAATAACCAAAAATATGGGAAAAATTCATTTCGCAGAGGAATATCTTAAATTGAGTCTTATCCCATTTTAAATCGTTCTGCCACCTCTGCTTGCTGTTAGTTATTGTGACGAGAAAGAGGTGTGAACCGCATTTCTTTCATTAAAAACTAAGTCGTAAAAATCATTGAATATTGAAAACGAAGGATCAATCTAGATTAAACTACGGAAAAAAGCTACGATAAAAAAAGGTTATTTGATATCTTCTTTGACTCTATTGATCCTTGTTTAATAACTTCTACTTCTATTGTGTTGATAGCCAGTATCTGCACAAGAAAACGTGCCATCGTAAGACGCACGCTGAATGTGTCCAGCAGATATCCAGCTTATTTCTGAAAAAATATAAGCAAAAAAAATGTACTGTTTAGTATTTCTTTGGAGTAATTCCAAAAAAAGTGTAAAGTGACGAGACACTTCATATAAAGGATCCGTATAAGCTGCTTCCAGTAAAAATACTCAATCGTTGAAGATATTTTCTTTTCAGGGGACTGGATGAAAAAAATCCGATGAAAATCCGATGAAATTTCCACCATATGATCGAATCACTGTGCTTTGAGCTCTCAAACAAAAATCAAGCACTTCACGTAATTCAGCAGAAACCGTGATTGTAACACTTTTTTAATTATTTTCTTGTTCTCATATCTTTCTAAAAGAAGAACGCCCGGAGCACAAAACATGTTACAGTCACGGTTTCTACCGAGTTACGTAAAATGCTCACTCTCAGCAACTTTTCCACGTCTATGATTCTTGGTTAGCAAAGGTTGAGAGTTTTATACATGTTATTGTCTTATTACAAAATGTTGACTCGAAGACCTCGACAATTTTCTTCTTTTCTCGCTTTTTTTACGTATATAGAAAGTGGTTAATACTATTCTCCCTCATTCTCTTTTAGCTCACTGTAAATTTCTGAATAATACTATTTCATCTATCCTCATCTTTTTTTCCTCTCTTTGTGTGGTTGTTGTTGCATGTCAAACCATAGAAAAGAACTTTTTTTTTTTCTTTCATTTATCTTCAATGTAGATGTTCGAAATGATGTCTATCTGTTTTATATGAAATGAAAAAACGGAGAGCTGACAGTACAGATGTAAATTTGATCATTTTTTTTTTAAAAGTAGAAGAAAAGAACATACACAAGCATTGTCTTATTTTGAGAAAACTTCTTTTTAAATCAGAACATTTGCGCGATAAGAATGAAAAAACGAAGAAATAGATAGAAAATTAAAATATTTTCTTTTACATTCTTATTACTGTTCGTGGTTCATTAAATAAACTTATTTATATCGTAATTGATGATTACTATTACTATACTATTCATCTAACGTATCATTTTTAGTTTTCATGCTACTTTCATCGTTGTCAACTTTAAATGATAAATTTATTTTGATATTAGTCATCTGTTTTCACATCATTACCTATAGAACAGAGGCCGACAATGATCACACATGTAAGATTGAATTAATTTCAAATTAAATAGATTTAGTTTATTGAAAAATATGATTCTGAGAATAATTATTTTTTAAAATACGTTTTATTCTTTATTTTTTGTCATCTGTATAGAAAAATGATCCAACAAAAGTATCATAATGAGACAACTGATCATTAGTTAGAGAAGACCCGATTACTGCTACCGTTTGTTTATTTTACCTACGAATATATGTTTCCATATAGTTTAGGTTCTAACGTTAATGGACCATGTTTTTCTTTTTTATCATTTTAATCATACTAGAACATCTGTTTTCAATTCAATGTTTTTCATTTTAGATCCAGCACCATTAAATGTTCGAGTATTTCGTGTTAATGACACATCTATCAATGTAACTTGGGATCCTATTTCTTATCCTGAAGTGTCGAGATATACTGTTTATTACAATGACAAATCAGAAACAAAAGATATCGAAAAATGGCCACTATATGCACTATCACCTCATACATCATCAGCATTAATTAGTGATTTAAAACCGGATGTTATTTATAATATTCGTGTTAATGCTGAGTTTATCGTAAGAAAAGACAGTATACAAACTGGTTTTTATCCTGGTAGGATGTCCGAAATATATGTGGCTGATGTCTATCGTAGTAAGTAATTCTATGTTTACATGTCTGATAAAAGTTAATTTTAAAATCAATTGAATTTTACGTTAAATTAACAGTTTTGATTCTAATTGAGATTTTTATTCGTCCTATTGTTTCCTGTCGTTTTCTTCTAGAATGATTTTGATTTCCTTCCTACATTTGTTGGTCTTTTTATGACTATAAGGGGATTTTCTTTTTGTTTTGTTAGGAAAAAAGAGAGACAAACAGAAAACACTACTTTACTTTTCTACAATCATATCTGTATGTATGTGTATGTGTGACACTCGAGGCTATATCGATCCAAAGTAAAATTTTCTTTAACATGAAGTAGAAGAACGTATAAATATGTTACATAATAAAAGCAGAAATATGAAATTGTCAAACTGTGATTGAGACGAATAGAAAATACGCATTTTTTTTTTTTTTGATACCTGATAGCTCGATTCATTCAACATAGAATAAAACAAGGGAATGAGGTTAATCAAACGTTCGACAATGAGAGAATGATGGTATTAATACGTGAGCATTTTCACAAATAGAGGGTACTGCATCATTCTTTTTTCTTTTTAAGCTTGCCAATAGAATAATTTAATCTACTTATGTTTATTGGACTTGATCATTTATAGTACTGGAAAAATTTCTCGTATAAAAGAGGGTGAACGTCGCTCACTTTTACCCTCAATTTTAAGAAAAAGCGGTCACCTTCGAGAGTTGTTGTTTTTAAAATGAAGCAATAATTTTTAGATTCTATGACTTATTATTGTCATATAATACATAATATTTTATTTTCATCATGATCAATTAATAATTCAAATGTAGTTTGAATATATAAATATTTATCTCAGTATCTAAATGAGCAAAAGGCAAATGTTGATAGATATCCTAAATTTGATTTAAATTTATACTGTGAGAACTTTCATATAAAAATAATATATTTAAGATAATCATTTCCACTTTAAAGCAAATAATGTTCATGCATGATCGAAATAAGAATCCATTCTTGTTTCGTCGATACTTTTTATCCGTTGTAAAACATAGAATTCTTGTTGCAATTATAAAATTTTTATTTCAAAATGATCATGCATACAATATAGTCTTGAAAAATATTTGACAAAATGATTAAAACTTTTTAACACCTATTGTTTTTGATACCTTACACAAAAAGTCATTTAAATTTATACTATTTTGTTTATATCTATTTTCTAAATAATGTAAATGATGATTACCACTAACATATCATTTCTTACGTGGCGTAAACTATTTTGCTTTGTACAAATTTTTTTCAAGGCTTCATTATATACATGATCATTTTGGTATATATTTATACATTATTTATTATCAATTACAACTGTTTTCTGTACGCTATTAATTTTGATAAAGAAATCCATCGCTCAGTTGATCTTTTTTATTGAATTTTATCAACTTTTTTCAAATTTAAAATTGTAGTATACATTTTTATAATTGCAACTAGAATTCCATGTTTTATAATGGATAAAAAAAGTGTCGATGAAAGAAGAATCAAGCTTAATTGATTAAAAACATAGTATCGACGAATCAAGATAAAAAAGTGTCGATAAATCGACCAAAAAATTAGTGTCGACAAAACAAGAATAATTTAATTATTGTCGATGAAACAAGAATACCCCGAAATAAGAAGACATTAAATGTATATCATTTCATATTCTTCTTGGTACTGTTTATCAGCTATTTACTCACATCATTTTAGATAATGTCATTTGGACGTACATTTTCAATTTTATGATTTAACGGAAAAAGAATATATTCTTAGGATACTACTGTATTACCAGATAGTATTAAATAATTAAAAAACTTACGATATTTTCACGTCTGTTCGGTTTATCAAGATTTCTTCTTATTGCTCTATCTTTATTGTGAAAATAATTAAATTTTATGTCTTCATACAATGTAGAAATATTAATTTACTTTTTCTAAGTTTAATAAAACCCTAAAAGTAGATGAATAATCAGTAATCAGTAGTTTCAATATTATTTCCAGTCACATTATTGATTTGTAAATAAAACGGTGAATGATATTGAACAATATCCTATGATAAATTCTGCTGATTGATCGTTTGTATAAACATTGAATACTGCGTGGAGATAGTAGCAGACACGTACATTTTCTTCATGTACATCTCATCTAATGATATCCGTATGTGAATAAATTACTTCTGCTCGAAAGAACATTTTTTTATTGTCTGCTGTTGAGTGGCATAGTTGCACACAACTCATTTTTCTCTCTTTCATCTGTCTACATCGTACGGCTTGCTAACCCGATAATAGTTTCTTAATTGACCATGTACTAGACATTCATGGTCGTATTTTCGATATATCGAACGATTGCCATTATTCATTGAAAAATGATTGACATAAAGTGACGTTTATATATATAATCATCAAAACAAACAAAATTTATATGAAATAATTTGAGTATAAGATGTATATAGACTGAACATCAATTTAAATCAACATACATCCAACTTATTTACCTAATCATGGATATTTTTCTACAAACGAATTTTTATACGTTAACTGATAGAAAAGAGATTAGATAATGGATTTTTTTTTTTGTAATATTTTTCTATTGACTTCTTTTTCTATACAATGATTATGTACAAATATGTTAGATTGTTGTTTTAGGTTTAGTCCAAAGACTTCGATTAGCAATAAAAAATAAAGGATGATCAACGAAAACTAATTTTATGATTTACGGCTTGTCCACGTAACGCGATACTTCATTGATTAAGTTTTTCAAAAATGTTTTTCATCGGAGAACTGATATGAGGCCATAATTAGATGCAGTTTATCGCGCTAATTACGAATGTAGCCTTTTTCAAAAATAAAAATAAAAATTTGAATGCAAAAATTTAATATTAAAACTTTTAAAAACTTTCATTTTAAATTGCTCACCTAGCCAGTTTCTTGAAAAAGCTGAAAAATATAATATTCGATAAGGAATTAAATTCTACAAAATGACATATTTTTTTCTAAGTTCTAACATCAAGAACGGATTTTATAAGGTTTTTAAGTTTTAAAGTGTAGAGTCAAATTTAAAAGTTTAGTATAAATTTTTAACTTTATTTTAAAATGGGTAGATAGCCCATGCCTAGGACTCAGATGAATATAAAAGTCAAGTTCTTTTTAAGACCTTACGTGTCTCAAAACTCTGTGAGAAAAAACTGTGTCACAGCGTTACTTTACAAAATTGACTTTTTTAGGCGTGTGGAAGGGTTTGAAAAAAGTTTTTTTACGAAAAGAAAGCCCGTTAGCCCTTCTACAAACTTGCTTCTAGAAAGTTTTCAGATGTACAGCTCAATTCGCAGGAAATCATAGCTATATCAAGAGTTCTTAAAAAAATAGGGAGCTTTTCTGTCAGTGTTACTCGCCGAAAAATCTTTCTGGAAGCTCGAGTGTTGATCTGAAAACTTTCATTTCTATACCGTAGCTAGAGTTTGATGAGCTGCGTCGAATGGCGCCAGAATGAACTTTCTAGCTCCTACAGTTTTCGAGAGACATGCAAATTACTGTGTCAAAATGTCACAGCGTTACCTTTGGACAAGCCGTTTATAGAAATAAATGAAAATTGTTATCTTAAACTATTGACGTCCAGATATATTTTCTTTCGTTTAGCTTCTGAAACATTTCATGTTCGACCATGAGCTATATAGTGCTAGTAATATCTTTTAGAATACTTGCGCTAGTAAATATTCGATATGAACAGATTGCAGATGAGAACTATATACCTCATATTTTATTTGTTATACAAGCAGTTTTTTCATTCTCATTGTGCGTGTTATAAAATTAGCCAGTGTATAACAGGCCTGTCGTAGAAAACGATATATTCTATTTTTGATGAACTTAACATGAACAATTTCATAATTAGATTATAACGAAAATTTTTAAGCAAATCAATAGTTCTTAGATGATAAAGACATAAAGAATCGTTATATTATTCTATACATTTTTTGTTTGGTTTAGAGCCTCAATTTATAACACAGTATGACGATTTGTTGAGTAGACCAACTGACATGACTTATACAGAAGTGACGGCGAATAGTATTCGAATTTGGTTTTCTTTTGAAGACAAAAATCCTCATTATAGTCGGAAAGTACAAAGATTAGAAGTAAGTCGTACATACAGCTGTAAAATAAAAGTCATTATATCATTGTTGTTTTCTGTTTAGGTACATTATGAAGGTGTCCAAAATTATATCGATAGTTTAGGCATACCACGTTTTAATTCTCATCGTAATTCAGCTGGTCTTATCACATTACCAGCAGATGGCGATATTAATCGCGAATGGCTTGTCACAGGTTTAGCAGCTAACACAAATTATACATTGAATTTAAGCGGAACAACAGCCGACGATTCATATCCATCTGCTCATTACAATGTTAAAGTTTATAGTCGTCCAGCAACAATTCGATTTCAAACAGATTATGATTGTATGTATTTTCTATGTACATATAATTGTTTCTTATTATCTTCTTTATTGATTTTTATTAATCAGCACCGCCCTATGTGGATCGACCGGATATAATTAAACGTGAAACTATCATTAGTAAGACGGTACCATTAAGTTTACATAAAGCATCAACTAAAAATGGACCAATTGATCGATATTATATTGTTGTACATTTATTTGAAAAAGTGACGTATCAATCCTATGTTCCTCAAGAAGTATGACAGTTGCACACTATATACACTTCATCTACTAACAATAATATCGTCTTTTGTTCGATAACAGGGTCGGAAAGAATGCTGTTATACAGCTGCTGTATTTTCATCAGACAAACTTCCCGATGTATTTACTCTTGGTGATGGTAGAACAACAATAGATTATTATCCATTTGCTCCAAATATTTATAACAATTCGCCAATAGAAACAAACTGTAAGGTTAAACTTGTCTCATGGGGATTTAGTCGAAAGCAAGAGGTAAATTTAAAGAAAGTACAATCGACATTCATTAATAATTATGGCTAATTTTGCTTAGAATTTGACAACATCAAGTGCAACAACTCAGATTCTTTTAAGTTCAAAACCTATTCGAGCAAATCAAGATTCAATGAACAATTTATTATGGATATTCGGTGTTGTTATTAGTATATTCATTATTTTTATTATATTAGTCGTTTTCACTGTTAAATATAGGTAGGTATTCATAGAATAGCGAAAAGTAGACACTATTTCGAATTTCTTTTATAGTCGCACGAAAAAGAAGCCAATTACGCCACCACCTGAATCTGTTCCATTCGATTTAACGCCAAAAATGTTAACAATGGAAATGCCCATACTACCTCCAGCCATTTCGCCAGCATCATCTGGCGAACCAGTTGAACTGAGACGTACACATTGTATTACAGCTAGTAATACTTATAGTAAGCGTTTATTCACTACACAGGCATAAAACAGATCCTAAAATGGTTATTTTCAATGTAGGTGTAACAACTCATCCACCTATTCATGTCGACGAATTTGCAGCGCATGTTGAACGCTTAAAAGCAGCTGATAATTATAAATTTTCACAAGAATACGAAGTTAGTAGAGAAGTAGTTTAATGTTTCGCTTTTTATAATTTTTTCAACATTCTTATAGTCCATTGATCCCGGTCAACAATTTTCGTGGGACAACTCATTATTGGAATATAACCGTCCAAAAAATCGTTATGCAAATGTTATTGCCTATGATCATTCAAGAGTTGTGCTGCGACCCATAGATGGCATACCGGGAAGCGATTATATAAATGCAAATTATATGGATGGTTATAGAAAGCAAAATACATATATTGCAACACAGGGTCCGTTACCCGATACATTTGGCGATTTTTGGCGGATGGTATTTGAGACAAATTCAGCATGTATTGTTATGATGACAAAATTAGAAGAACGAAACCGTCTCAAATGTGATCAATATTGGCCGTCAAGAGGAACAGAAACATACGGTCCTATCCAAGTGACATTAACAGACTTGATTGAACTAGCGTCTTACAGTATAAGAACATTTAATATAGCATGGGTAATTTTCATCATCGCCTGTTTTTGACAGTTTTAATCTAACTCAAAGTTAATCTTTACTTTGATAAAAGTATTTATAGCCTAATTAGTTTATCATATTTAGATTGGTCATCCTGAAAAACGTGAAATACGTCATTGTCAATTTACAGCATGGCCTGATCATGGATTACCAGATCATGCAACATCGTTTCTAATGTTTTTGAGGCGTGTGAAAACATTAAATCCACTTGATTCCGGTCCGATTATCGTTCATTGTAGCGCTGGTGTTGGTCGGACGGGATGTTTTATTGTATTGGATGCCATGGTTGATCGTTTGAAACACGAAAAAACAGTTGATATATACGGACATGTCACATTACTGAGATCACAACGGTATGTTAATATATTGATCACATGGCTGGATCTCATATTCATGCCATTAAAAAAATGAATACAGTGTTCAAATAATAAAATGTTAATTAAAATTTCTATTATCACTTTGTAGTAATTACATTGTTCAAACAGAGGAACAGTACATATTTATCCATGATGCTGACAACGAAGCGATTCAGTCCGGATATACCGAAATATTAGCCAAAAACTTATTTACACATTTACAACGTTTATTACAACCGATCAACGATAGTTCATTAACAGAAATGGAACTGGAATTTAAAGTATGTTTTTAAAAATAAATCCAATAGCATATAATTATAACGATTTTATTCATTATAGCGATTAGCCAATGTCAAAGCACAACCGTCCAAATTTATTAGTGCTAATTTACCATCAAATAAATTCAAAAATCGCTTAGTGAATATATTACCATGTATGTACACTGTTAACCGTCTATAATAGAAGAAGAAAAAAAATTATGTATTTACTTTATAGATGAGAATACACGTGTTTGCCTATCGCCAGTACGTGGTATCGATGGATCGGATTATATAAATGCCAGTTATATTGATGTATGTTATGTTGTTATTTATACATGAACCATTTATTAGAATCGTTTTGTTTAATTTAGGGTTATCATTCTCCAAAAGCATACATTGCTACTCAGGGACCGCTATTGGAGACTGTTGATGATTTTTGGAGAATGTTATGGGAGCATAACTCAACAATTATTGTCATGTTAACAAAATTAAAAGAAATGGGAAGAGTAAGTGATAGGTACTACATATCTCAATAAATAACTAAAATTTTTAATTGATTATTGTAGGAAAAATGCGTGCAGTACTGGCCAAATGAACATTCTTCAAGATATGGTTATTTTGTTGTTGATCCAATTGCTGAATACAATATGCCACAATATGTACTAAGAGAGTTCAAAGTGACAGATTCTAGAGTATGTTGCATGCGTCTTCACTTATATACTGATATATTTGTCTCGTTTCTGTTTAAAAAGGATCGTTTATTTCGAACAGTTCGTCAATTTCTTTACACTGAAGTACGTCGAGCATACTTTATCAAATGTATTCTAGATGATGATGATGAGTCTTTTTGTTGTAGTGGCCAGATCAAGGAGTACCTAAATTTGGCGAGGGTTTCATTGATTTTATTGGTCAAGTTCATAAAACAAAAGAACAATTTGGTCAAGATGGACCCATAATAGTTCATTGTTCAGGTAGAAAAAAGAAATTAATAAAACGGTGATATTTATGTTGTTTAACTTTATCAATTTCTGTATTCTAGCTGGTGTTGGACGAACGGGAGTATTCATTACACTTAGCATTGTATTGGACAGAATTCGATATGAAGGAGTTGTTGATGTATTTCAAACAGTAAAATTACTGAGAACACAAAGACCAGCTATGGTGCAGACAGAGGTAAAGTTGTTCAAATATGTTCAAGAAATCATTCTTCTACAGCTATTTGTTTAGGATCAATATCAATTTTGTTATCGTGCTGCTTTGGAGTATCTTGGCTCATTTGATAATTTTTCATCCTGAGAAAAGAGCAAAAAAAATATTGATAATACTTCGATGTCTAGTCATCCACCAACTAATTCAATGAAAGAGAATTTATTGCTAACATATGAACGTAAACAGTTGAAATTGAAAGCAAATTGATGAACAACAAAACTATACGCAGTGAATTATACTAGTCATTAATTTTACCTAAAATGATCATGAAAAGAAATGTTATTCTCAACGCACAAAAACATATTTAAAAATATGTAGACGATTGCGGGTCAATCGTGTTGTTTTTCTCTATTTTATAATTAATTAGATTAGTTTTGAAAACATCATGCACATATCCCTGATAAATACAAATAAAATGTGATGCGTTTTTCATTTTAGTTACTTCGTGTTGTTTATTTAAAATTCCAAATAGTTCTTTAACAATAGCAGATTTGAATACTCATTGATTTTAAACACTGATGTTTTCTTAATTTCATCTAATTGAGTGAATCATTTCATTCAGACTGTACATATCTGAACTTTTTTTGTCTGATGTTATCAAAGTGAAACTTTGTTTTGATAAATTATTTTTCTATTAAAATTTGTAAAAAAAAAAAAAAACTAAAACGAATACGAGATTTATGTCTGCATTGTTGTTTCATTCAATGTTATTTTGTTTATGAAAATTTTTTTTTGTGCAACAACCGATTCTTGCATGTTTATGTGCGTGTTTTTTCACTTATTGTTAGTTCAGATCTAACTGTTCAAATTTTTTTTTACAATCTAAAAAGTAAAAAGAAGAGAAAAAAAATAGAATAAAAGAACATTTTTTGGAAGTCGCATTTAAAAACGCATACACATATACGTTCAAATTATTTTGCCTCGATATTCAGAAATATACCCTACAAAGGTCTCATTATTTCTGTAACTCAACAACCATGATATCTCAAAAAGTTTTGTGTATTAATTTAGGATTTGTTACATGCCAGATACAGAGTTAGTCTACAGAGATGTCCTAGTTAACTGTATTTGCTATGTATAGTGATACATAAGCACTAAAGAAAGAAGCTTTACAACTAAATTAGTAATAGAAATAATCATACAAATGTTAGCGTTTTTTAGACAGTAGAAATCGGGTTGAACACGTAACAGTCTTCTTCCATGTTGAAGTTTTTTTTCGCTATTTGTTTAAAACATTAGACGTTCGAATCAATATTTTGACCATGAGCATTCGAAGAATGAACTGCATCTGTTTTTGCTTTGTACAAATCTTTATACTAAGCCATCTCTGATCGCAAACTGCTTATTGTTTTCGACCAATTCTAAACAGACAGTTAATACAGTCTTTCAATCTCTTAAAACTGTCGCAGCATTATTGAGAAGAAATTGTTCTGTAGTCAAAAGATTTGCTAATTATATGGAAAATCTATTTATAAAATAGAATTCAACATGTAATATTTCGATCTGTTCTAAGATATTAGTTTAACATTGCGTCGTTGTTTATACAAGAAATAAGTACTCAGAATGCAATTTTACACAAACTTGGCAAATACGAAAATATCACTTTTCGTATCTACCAGTTATTTGATATCATATGTGACGAGCGTCTTCTTTTTTTTGTTATCTTCCACTGATCGAGTTATATCTACGTTGATCTGTTCACGTCACATGTCGGCAATGCCCACACAACATGCATCATATACAAAAAAGAGATTTCTCTCACCTAATAATAATTCATCAGAACAAATTATAGCTAGCACTTCCGGTAATTATAATTATGATAAATGAACTACAATCAGAAAAATAAGGAAAAAACTCAAGTGTCAACAGCACAAATACCTAATAGGGATTATGATGCAGTCTGGATATTACATTGTACCGGATGCATCAAGGTTGACGAAACTTTGAAAAAGGCATGTATCCGCCTCAACACGTGATTTCGTCAAAATTTTCTATTTGATACGTTTGCTCTAAAGCACATTGACTTTTAAAATAAAAAAAATGTTGTGTAAGTTAAAAAAAATACTGCAGTTCTTTCTTCAAACACTGTTGATCAATGTGAAATTTGAATTATTAAACGATCCATTCTCGTTTTACTTCTCTGGATAACGTAAGCTGTTCTCCAAACCGTGAAATGCCATGCTCTCAAAAATATTTTTCCTTTCATACACTGTCTCTTGTTTCTGCATCAGTCAGATAGCGAAACGATCTTATTTAGATCTGTCACACATTCGTGCAATTAAATTAACTAGTAAAACTATTGCTTCGTAATGTATTTTCGGAATTTTTGATGGACTCGCAATTCTCTTAATTGAAAAAAAATATGCAGTTTTCTTTTCTTTATACGTAAATAATAAATAAAGAAAATATAATGAAATGAGTTATTTCTCTAAGATCAAAGACATAGTAATGACAATGTATTTTATGCTGTTAAAAACAAACCAGAAATCACAGATTATATCAGATCAAGTTTGCGTGTTCGATTCTCACTTCGTGCAAGCCTTGATTTTGTGTTTTGATTGTTTAAGTTTCAGAATGATATAATGAGAATTTATATTCTCTATTTCGTTCTGATTCAAGATTAAAACAAATTATATTCAGTTTTTGCAGCTTCTGAATCATGCACTATACTCGTTGACTCTTTTGACCACTAAACACGGGGAACTAGTCTTGTGCGAATATAGTTTGTACAAATTAACAGCAAACAACAATATATTCCACAAAACATTGATACAATAATCGGAATAATCTGATTACAATTGTTTAGTGAATGAATGTAGAGAGACCCTTTGTGCGGGTTAAAATCAACTTTAGAGATATATTAGTGTATATCTGTACGTTGAATAAATCATTACCTCCGTATTTGAGAATATGCTTCATATTTTAGAACAACTTTAAATAGAAAATAGATGCAGCATTCTCATTATGTGACAATATTCCAATGCGGACAATGTGTTACCTAACTACAACCGTCTTATTATCGTTTTTTGTGTCATTCATACTCGTGTTAACCCGCTAACTTTTTGATCTGTTGTTGTTTGATCATACGACTGTATTCGAGATAGACTTCCGGTCATTGGTGGTGATTGGAATTGATGTTGTCATTAATAAGGGTATCGAATCTGATTGTGGTAGAGATACATGAATTAAGGGTGAATCAGGATCGGATTTTTTTCTTGACGTTATTTTGTATTGTTTTCCCTTATCTAATATTTTCACAGTGGTTTTTTTCGGTATGAATGCTGCTGATCCATTTTCTTTTCCATTATAACCATGTGAATTATCATCTTTCTTTGTTGATAGACCAGTGGCCATTGTTATCTCTTGTGGCAACTGAAATGCCGATGGACGATCACAATATTCGCCTTCAGATACAATGATAGTACGACGAGTGTTACAGCATACACATAGTTTAAAAAACCATGGAACAATTTGTTGAAATTCTTTACGAAAATTATCGTTCAACCAAGCATATAAAAATGGATTATAAATTGTTGAACTCATGGCAATAACATGACTGGTTAAAAATAATGTTTTATAATTTTTGTTTAATTCTTCACGATGAAATTCTGATACCATATGAACAATGTTTAATGGAAGCCAACAGATGACAAATATAACAACCTAGAACAGTAAACAATACGTACATTAGCACGAACTGAGAAAGAGATATTCTTTCTCACCATAGCTATCAACATTCTATTAGTCCGTTTTTTCCGACAAATTTCAATTTCTTCTCGAATACGTGTTCGACCGGGTAATCGACGTCGAGTCAATGTTAACCATACTTTGCAGTAGCTAAAGGAAATAACGCTGAACGGTATCAAATACTGAAGGATCAACGAGGAAAAATTAAAAAAACGTCTTGATGTATGTTGAGGCCAATATCCCTAAAATTAAAAATGCACAAAAAGTTTATAATCGAATATGAGAATGATTTGGAAGTTTTTTGACTAATTTACCTCACACTTTCCTTTTTCAAGTCTCATATATATGGCTAGTGGTAATGATATCGATATACCCACAACCCAAATAACAATAATTAATAGAATACAAACACTCAATTTCATCCTTGAACGAAATGGATGTACAATAACGAAATATCTGTCCACAGCTATAGCTAAGGATGTTAATGTTGATACGTAAACTGATATTCCTAATGACATTGGTACAATATGACATAAAACACGTCCAAGATGCCAGCTGGGTACATAGGCTGATATCGGAGTAAATGGAACAGCTAGACAACACATTAAAATATCGGAAAATGCCAAATTAGTAATGAATACATTAGTGACCGTTTGCATTGTTTTATTTCGACATACGACAAGAACAACGAGAAAATTTCCACTTATACCAAAGAAAAATATTAGTGTATACAATGAAATGAATGTAGTCATCATTAACGGATGCCGTTCTAATTTTGAATTCCCATTGTTTCCCGTGTGTGTTGATGAATCGAATCGAAATCCAGAAAAATGACTGTGATGATTGCCATGTTGTGAAAGGACATCGGTAAATGGCTCCCCCAGAAATTGAGGAAAATTTGTTTTATCTGACGTTGACCAATTCATCTAATAACACTTCTATTCAGCTAGCTATAAAAAGCAATTTAAATATTAGTTATACCTGAACAACTATTTATATTATATTTATATTCTTTCTTGTTTTTGACTAATACTGCATTAAGGATCAGATTTAATAATCCACAGGGTATAGCGATAGAGAACTTCGTTTTTGATTAGACTGCTGAGAATTATTTTATTGGAGAGAAAACGTTCACAGCTACTTGACGAAAAAAAATGTATCCAGTATGTTCTATAATATTAAATTAAAATTTTTTACTTTAAAATCTTGTAAAAAAGTTAAATTTACCTCTTTAAGTAGTAGAAATCAAATTCAACAATATAATTCGAAAGACAGTAAACGATTATACAAAAGAGTTCAACTTTAAACGTCAAGCTTTCACAATACATATGACTCAAAACCATTTTTTAAACAGTAAAATAACACTGAAAGGAGCTTTATATCATGTCACCTATACACTGACGTGAGATGGAGAGCACACATATGTTAGATGCACATTTCTTTGAAATGTTCCGTATGCATTTTTTTTTCAAATTACGTCTATTTTCTAACAATAATTTCTCATTTACATACCATTCGTTACATCCTGTTTCGATTTTTTTGTCCTTTGTTATCCGAGATATATTCATTTGAAGTTGTATATACAAATGTTTTGTACGTGAGAGTTTTTTTATTTTATTTTAAAAAACCTCGATTGCCTTAAAGGGCTCATAGAGTAGCATGACAAGTGTATATACTCAAACTCATATATCAAGAATAACAGACAAGATGACATGTAAATGAACATAAAAGAACTGAAAAGGAATACAACAAATTGTATGTAAATGAAAAATGATTTTTAAAAATAAGCATAAGAGATAGATTTGAGTCGGGGAAAAAATGAATTTGAGTCACTGAAAAGGAATTTGCATCTAACATATGTACATTTTGTATCTTACGTCAGTTTATGATTAATATATGCTGTACGATTTTTATGAAAGACATCTATTTTACAGTTGAGTAAAATAGTTACAAAGAGCAGTGATCATTTGAAATCGCCTACACATTTATCCAAAAATATATTTAAAATTTGACTGACAGTACTGTTGAAGATAATTAAAATCAATTATTGTCAAAATTTGAATTTTGAAGAACGAAAAAAATTACTTTTCGAAGAAGATAAATCTTTATGGTATTTTTCAACCAAAACCCGTTCTAATTTAATAAACTAGACAGACTTTTTCTCAGAGACGTGCGCATAGATTGATGTTTTCTCTATCACGAAGTTATAAAAAAAAGCTCGACAGAACAATTAATTTAACTATTAGGTTTCCGAAACGGTAAAAGCTAACTAAAACCACAGTTGTTTTACAATTTTTATCGCTATCAACGCATAAAAAATATGTTTGTTATGAAAGTTTTGATATAAACAAGTAGGTATTAATTGTGATTATAAAACAGCTTTATGTACAGAGTGCGTAAAAATGTTTTTCCAGGGGGGTGTGGTGCTAATTAGGCCCTACTAACAGCTTCACAAACAACACCCAATTCTATTCTACCAGCAGCAACAATTATTATTAGTTTAATGATAAACTATTCGTACAAAAAAAGTGTTTGTACAGTGTGGAATTAC